CTACTCATACTGAGTCAATATATAATAAGTAGTCTCTGTCATCCTTCTGTGCTCAATTAGGAAATATAGGTTCAATAGAATCTATGTTTTTACAAGTCGAAATAGCATTAACATCTGATGCTTCTAGGTTTTTCATTGAACACATGACAACAAATATGACTTTATTGCTGAATTAATCTAAATAGATTCTAAAATTCCCTCAATTGTTCTATATAATAGAAATACAAAGCAAACCATTAACCAAAAGAGTATCTTGATTGCTTTCTGTCATGTTATGTGATCTCAAAAATAGTATATTTAGTTTTACTGCACATATACTACTTATGAAAAGGTAGGGTATTCTGAGTGAATGAATATCATTAGACAAACTGACCCAAAATCTGGGCTGTTCGAAAACATTTCCTAAAGTTCCTTACATTGTAAAATGTGCATATTAATCCACATGGTGGATAAACCTGACATAGCCTGTTGTAATGTGATTCCCTCTGGTCCTGGTCCCTGACTCTTTGTTTTGACAAGTGGCTGTCTTCCTCGTGGTGAAAACGGTTTGACTCTCTGATCTGTGTTGACGAATCAACAGTTTTGTAATGTCCTCCGAGATAACTACTGTTGTGATATAGGGCACACAAACCTTGAAATGTATCTGATTATTTTTCAATCGATTCATATGATGTCATAACATGATAGTTTTAATGATTCTACGCACATTTGCATTAGAATTCAATGTTTACCGCACATGGTTCTGCCTCCTCAAATGAACTGTTTGGGTTATCCCTGGTGGAGTAAGTGCAGCGGTTGTGTGGCGGTATTTTGTGCTGACCTTAAAGCTGTGAGCAGAGGAGGAGGATTGATAGATGGCGGCTGAGTTTTATTTACCATCATTATTGGACACAGACAAAGTGAACAGTCAATACTTGGTGACAGTATCGGACATTCGAGTCTGTCCGTGCTTACTCTGGGGAAAGTTTGCCGCCAATTGACTACACTGACCAATAAATGCCGCAGAAAAGCAAATACATAACGTTTTGTCTTGGTCCCACTGTTGCTGTTAAGCTGCAAAAACAATAGATTTATTCAAACAGATCTCACAATGCCACTGAGCTGATTCAACGCCACTGAGCTAATTGAGGTGACTGGCTACTGGACCAGGATGCAGTTGTTTTGGTGCTTTCACATCTCACTAGACAAAGCTTATTAGCCTTAAATATGCAGTCAGTGATTTTTTCCGGACACATTTTTTTTAAAATATTGTGGGAAAACCTCCCTAAACCCTAAAAGTAGTCAAGTTATCATTTGTTTTCAAATAGTAATGGAATTGACCAGATGCCTATAGTCTCCAAAAATTAATGAAAATATTTTTGGAGCGCACCGATAAAATTAAACCTATAAATGGATATTCCGTGGCGCCTGGGGTTCCTGGTGAATCTCTACAGAAAATCTCGCAGTTTGAATGACTTTAAAACAGTATTCCACAACCTTTTTGCGCCATGGCACACCTTTTTCATTGAAAACAATCACATGGCACACCAGCAGCTGAAACTGACACAAAAAATTAACTCTGCAGCCTTTATTAACAATGCAAAGTCATTCTTATCAAATAGTATTAAATAGAAAATCAAACAAGCGCAAAAGTCTCAAGGCACACCAATGTGACATGGCACACTGGTTGAAAAACACTGCTTTAAAACATACTGCCTTGTCTTGTTTTAGGCAGATGTCACTGGAAAGTAAAATGATCAGTGAAACAACCCATTTCACTTCATACAGTAACTCATGAAATAGGAAATAATGCAAAAATATAATATCTTCTTCCATTAGCAGATAATTAATTCCATCAATAATACGAGTACGTTAGATATGACCTGCTTTTGTGTTCTCCTTTTTTTTACTAGTACTAACTGAGTGGGTTTGATTAACAATTTAACCAATTTGAGAAGCAAACTCTTCTTGCTTAGGTTGTTTCTTCAGAGAATTGACATCTTTATTTTATTTACTACTACTATTTCATTTAATGTTTGATGTCTATAATTCATAAATAAACAACAGTACACAACATGGACTCATTTGCCGTTCGCGTTTGTAGTCGCTAATTGCCGTAAATTATTAATCTGCTGCGAACATGTCCTCACTTAAAACAACACTAATTGCTTTAAACATTCAACATTTGTGCTTTCTATCTGCATTTGTTTTGGAGAAAAGCACGTTGTAAAAGTGGGTCTGTGGATGTCTGGAGGGCAGCAGGATCAGTGCTAATCCTAGAGGTAGTTTGTACAGATGCTATAGTCCGCTGAGTCAGAGCTGCAGTTAAGTCCAGGGGGAGAGGACTTATCTGTGGACTAGATTCTTCCCGTTTGGGCTGTCTGTCAACAGGCCAAGCATCTGTCCATCCGCCTCCCAAAGCTCTCCTCTTACACACACACGTTCCCCCGTGGCCCGTTTGTTTTACTTCCTTTATGAGCTTTGCTAAGTTGGCAAGCTGTTTTGGGATCCGAGCAGGTTGTAAAAGAAATGCAGAGCCGTGTAGTAGAGTTAGAATTGCCTGCTGGGAGAAAAGTCTTGTTTATGTTTATCATCCATTTTGAATAGAAAGACTTCTATTTTGGGAATAGGAATTTTATTGTTGATTGATTCTGAAAAGTGACTGAAGTTTTGCCGCGTGATGTCATGGTGTCAGAAACTGGGACTTATTTACAAATGCAATCAATCGAAAACTCAAACATCTTATATTGCAGCGTCTCAATCACATCATAAACATCCAGCAATACTTCGCAGATAACATCATAAACATACACAACATAAGGATTACAGATTCGGCTCCATTGTAATTTTTTTACTGTATCATGCAGCTATTTAAATCTGGGGTATTTAACTTAAAAATCTACAAAAATGTCCTTCTGACTTGTTCCTCACTCTCAAAACAGTTTGGTTCTCTCACCTGTTTTCACATACTTTATCACATGTTTACATCAGCTTTTGCAGACATGAAAGTGATAAAGAAAGGGCCATTATCACTCAGCCAATCAGCTCTCAGCCCAAAGTAGCAAATAGTGACTCAAATAGTCAAAGAGCTGGCAAAAGATAACATGCTTAGCTCTCATTTTACATTGAGAATCAGAATCAGAATTATTGTTATTGCCGTTGTAAGTCATTCTGATTCTGATTCTGATTAGACCCTTTCTGTGGTACAATGTTTTTTTATAAAGAAGAAATTGTTGAGTACCCCCGTTTTGAAGTTATGTGTGAACCAGAGATTCTGATGCGTCTGATGAATGGCATTCACTGTGCGTGTGAGTTGGATATTTTGTTCCCAGCACATTCATGGGAACTTTACGTGAGTGGGGCTTAAGTTCAACTGGATTTGAATTTGGCATGGTCAAAGTATCACAGATGTGTTGGCACCATATTCCCCAAAAAAACAATCTTTTTACAACAACAACTGAGCTCATGGTACAAAAAAAGTTTTACCACCTGCGCTTGCTTAATGTTTGACAAACTTACTGTCTTCAGCCACTACCTTTATTTGATTTGCCATATCCCACACAATTATTCTATCATTACAATCTGAGGAAATGTTTTATATTTTGTGGAAATAATGTATGGATTTTTGTCTCATGAATTGACTGGGTTCTAAATTGTTTACCGTCCTCTCAGACACGCTGCTGGAGTTTGCATTAGTTTAATGTGATGCTGATTCTGCCTTTTGCGGAGGCTGCTGCTCAGTGTTTGGACCAGAGAGTTTCCTAATAGCCGACTGCACGAGATGTTTCCCTTTCTGTTGACCACAGTCTGGAGTGGCCTTTTAGACACTTTCTGTTTCCATTTACTGTTAGGAAGCATTTGGGGCTGTGGGATGACTGAGCCAGCAGCCACAATAGTTGATTATACTGTATCTCTCACAAACAAACAGGATGTAGATCATGTGTCTCCAACCTTTTCACCCAGAGAGGCACAGAGCTACTCCTTTAAGCAACCCTGGGACAATGATTTTGATATTGGTGTGAAAGAATGAACCTGATACTGGATACGTTCATTATTTATGATTGCATATTTGTTACTAGTGACAAGTGCATTTACAATAATAAATAATGATAATGAATAATGCAATCTGAAATATTACGTAAACTATTTGATTTGTCCATTTCTAAATCCTTTGGCGAGCTATCTGGAAAGGGGTGGGGAGCTACTTGTGGGTCCCGAGCTACAGTTTGGAGACCCCTGATGTAGATGCACGTCAGGAACAGTGGGAAAGTCAAAGTTTGGATTTACTCTGAATGACTTTTGTGCAAATAGTGTTTAAGAGGAGTTTTATTGGAATATGCAACAACTATCTGAGGATTTTGTTTGAAAAATGCTATATATAAAAAAGTGGTATTCTTTTTGTTATTATTAATTATCTGACCAAGTGTAGGAAGAAGACTTGAGTGATTGGATGTGTTGTACAAATGTATGCAATAGTATTGTTTTTATTTTGGTGAAAATTGTAAAGTGGTAATTGAAAGGTCAGGGTAGACTTGTGTCACTTAATGTCTGATATTGAAAAGGGGTAAACAAATATTGCAGTCTTATTTTCTGCTCCTTTCCATGCATTTACAATTTTTAAATATATATTGTAACTATTATCATTATGTAAACAGCAATTTCATGAAAGGAACAAATTAATAAATGCAAAAACTAGATAAAGATTTCCTGTTTTTGACTTTTAGTGTTGTTATTGTGGTACTCAAGGCAGTATTTTCTCAATTATTTATGTGAAAAGTTACAAAATAGATTGAGAACTATGGCATTTAATCATATCTGAGCAAGAAATTATATGAATTATTGTTTACATACATTGTCTTCTATCATTCGACTTACAATGGGAAGCATAACCAAAAACCTTTATAAAAAATGTTTTGTTCAGCATTCAGAAAACTTAAGAAATACATTAATTTGGAAAAACACATCTTGCGATAATTCTTTTCACACAGATTAATATACTCCTCATATTTCTTCTTTTCCAGATATATAATGAGAAGAAGAGTCAGTTCGAGATCAAGAGGAACAACCCCGCGGACCTAGTGCAGCGCGTGGCCCGGGACATCTCCAAACTGCTCAACAGTAAGAGGAAAGCACTGGAGGTAAGCACCGCAGCCGACCTCTGGCACATTTGGGTTATTTTAATTACCCTTTTATCATTTTGTGTGACCTTAGTTCTAGCTTAAAGAGTATGGTGCGTTACAGTACCTGTTATCAAATGTCCTCTGTTTTGAATTCTAGTGATTTGGTTACTTATTGATTCTATGCCAACACTGTTACAAATTCAGGTTGAGATTTTTTTGAAGGAGAAGGTAAGAAGCAACGGTTAAAAGTAAGTGAAGTTAGTGTAGAATTTGAGTTTAATTTTCAGGCAAATTTTGTATATACGGCTTTTAATGTTTTCTTCCATTACGCAAACTTCGCACTTCATGATATCTGACTATTGGGACGTGTTGTTGAATTTAGATTTTTCTTCACAAGACTAGAAACTTGAATTGATCCTGAATTCTGATTATTACTATTGTTTTTTAGAGCATATATTTTGAATTGCTTTCATTGTTCTTTATTACACCAGGATATAGTGGCTGAGATTTCAGATCCGCACACATACACAGACATGTTGTTTTGTCTATTGATTTTTAAGGATAGGATATCTCTTATGCCCAATGCTATATTTGTAGCTAAGTATTTCCTAAGAATTTACAGTGACAAAGACTACATATTTACCAATATCCCCACCACTTTATCAGGTTTTTAAATTTCTGCGGTTTTTTCTTTTATTGCTACTCTTGCGTATTTAAGAATGTTGTGTTGCTAATGTATCACTTATGGTCATTTTGATCTGTTTATGCAAATATATCTGACCTCTAGGGCTGGGCGATATAAACGGGGTCTTCAGTTCAATCTGCATTTCAAAAGCATGGTGTCTCTTTAATATGGAATAATATTATATGCTAAAATGTATTAAATACAGGATGAAATACTGGTGATTTTGTTTGTGGAGACTGGACACACCTGATTTTTAACAAAAAAAATATTAACAATCTTGACTATTTTATGCAAGAACCTGCAAGACCTATTGAAATTCACACACCAAATTATACTGCAATATATATCGTTTACTGTCTGTGACCCAAATTATATAATATTATAAATATTATTTATAATATTATATTATAATATTATAAATATTTTTCCATTATTTGTCTGTTGAGCTTTTCTGGATTGGTGGTATTTATGAATGTCATCTACATGTAAACACACATCTCTAAGAGCATGATTTCATTTAGCAGCTCTGCCGGTGTTTGTCAGCGTGTAGTGGACATAACTGCTGCCTTGATCACGCAAGTGTTTGGCAGAATAGACTCTCCTCTCTGCGTTTGGTTCTGGACCATGGTTTAAACTGGTCTTTTGGACAGTGCAGGGTGCAGCTCGAGCTCCACAGGGCACACTGCACTGTCACCCCCATCCAGAGAGGAAAAATTCACTCGGGAGGCAGTGAAATGAGGTGAAAAAAGAGTGGAATGAGAATGTCTCCCTGGGGGGCGGAAAAATCAAGAAAACGATGTTCAGAAATTCATAGATTTAAAAATGTGCAGGAGCTGGAGGGAGCAAAAGGAGGGAAGGTACAAAAAATGTTCACAAAGGCACAGAGGGAGTGTTTGATTTTCCTCCCATGGCAACAACTAGATGGTGACACGCATCAGATTAGGTTAAAATGTTGGTTTTTACTGTCATTTTTCAACCACATTTATATCCACAGCTTTTCCTACGTGGTATATATTTGAGCCAATGCAGGAAAGTTAAATGACTCGTCTATGTCTAATGCCTTTTGGACTATTAAGCATAGTAACATAGTAAGTATTGAGCATTTTAGTGGCTTTAGTTCATTTCCATAAGGACTATTTATTTTGAACCACTAAGCAGGAAATTATATGTCTAATTTAGATTTTGGAGTAAAATTGTTGACAAATGCTTTTGCGTATTATTCATGCAGAGAAAGTGAAACGCAGGAAGCAGATAAGGAGGTCTGCTGCTGGCCACATATTGACTGTTTTAATATTCATGCCTGGCCCTACCGCCTGTAATGGTGATTTATCCGCCACACATAGGAGAAGATGGACGCACACGCAGCAAGGAGACTCACTGTTTGTAGCAGCCATTAAAATTCTGCTTATAAAGTCGCTGGTCCTAATTTATATTACTGGCACCGATTTGAAATAGTGCTTATGCGGTGGAGGAAGAGAGATTTCACATTTAGTTTTAATGCTGTAAATAATGAGGATTTACTTGGCTGTACACCTGCTCCGACTCGCTCTGAATCACAATGAATGGCTTCTGTAAAAAGAAGAGATAATTTACTACAAAATATCATATGTTACATAATTTATTTGCAATAATAACCATTTTGCTGCTTGTTTATGACTGTCATTCTTTGGGTTTGACATTATTGGTTGTCAAACCCAAAAAATGAAAAATGCATGCATTGTCATAGTGCCTATTTATATATAAAAAAAATTGTCCACTCACCTTTGGCCCTCCGCGGGCGGTTATCCCTCTCTAAGCTCGGGTCCTCTACCAGAGGCCAGGGAGCTTGAGGGTTCTGCGCAGTATCTTTGCTGTTCCTAGCACTGCACATTTCTGGACCGAGATGTCCGAGGTTGTTCCGGGGATCCGCTGTAACCACTCATCTAGCTTCGGGGTTACTGCCCCGAGTGCACCGATCACCACGGGCACTACTGTCACCTTTACCCTCCAGGCCCTCTCCAGCTCCTCTCTGAGACCTTGGTATTTCTCAAGCTTTTCATGTTCTTTTTTCCGGATGTTACCATCGCTTGGAATTGCCACGTCCACCACCACGGCTGTCCTCTGCCCTTTGTCTACCACCACGATGTCAGGTTGGTTTGCCATTACCATTCGGTCGGTCTGTATCTGGAAGTCCCACAGGATCTTCGCACGCTCATTCTCCACCACCTTTGGAGGAGTTTCCCACTTAGACCTTAGGGTTTCCAGCCCATACTCTCCACAGATGTTTCTGTACACTATGCCAGCCACTTGGTTATGGCGTTCCATGTAGGCCTTCCCTGCCAGCATCTTGCACCCTGCAGTTATGTGTTGGATCGTCTCAGGTGCCTCTTTGCACAACCGACACCTTGGGTCTTGTCTGGTGTGGTATATCTGGGCCTCTATCGCTCTGGTGCTCAGTGCCTGTTCCTGTGCAGCCATGATGAGTGCCTCTGTGCTGTCCTGTAGGCCAGCCCTTTCTAGCCATTGGTAGGACTTCTTGAGATCAGCCACTTCTGTTATGCTCCGGTGGTACATGCCGTGTAGGGGCTTGTTCTCCCATGATGGGCTCTCCTCCAGCACCTCCTCATCTCGCCACTGCCTGAGACATTCACTGAGTACGTCATCCGTTTTGGCCTTCTCCATGATGTAGTTATGGAGTTTGGATGTTTCGTCCTGGACAGTGGCTCTCACACTCACTAGTCCTCGGCCTCCTTCTTTACGGCTTACGTACAGTCTCAGGGTGCTAGATTTGGGATGGAACCCGCCATGCATGGTAAGGAGCTTTCGAGTTTTAACATCCGTGGTCTGAATCTCTTCCTTTGGCCACCTGATTATTCCTGCAGGGTATCTGATCACTGGCAGGGCGTAGCTGTTAATTGCCCGGGCCTTGTTCTTGCCATTGAGCCGGCTTCTTAGGACCTGCCTTACTCGCTGGAGGTATTTGGCAGTTGCCGCTTTCCTCGTCACCTGTTCGAGGTTGCCATTTGCCTGTGGTATACCGAGATACTTGTAACTGTCCTCAACGTCTGCTATTGTTCCCTCTGGGAGTGAGATCCCTTCTGTGTGGACTACCTTGCCTCTCCGAGTCACCATCCTGCTACATTTCTCGAGCCCGAATGACATCCCGATGTCATGGCTGTAGATCCTGGTTGTTTGGATCAGAGAGTCGATGTCTCTCTCGCTCTTGGCGTACAGCTTGATGTCATCCATGTAGAGGAGGTGACTGATCTTTGCTCCGTTCCTGAGGCGGTATCCATAGCCAGTCTGGTCAATTACTTGGCTTAGAGGGTTGAGGCCTATGCAGAACAGTAGTGGGGACAGAGCATCTCCTTGGTAGATACCACATTTGATGGTCACTTGTGCGAGCGGCTTGCCATTTGCCTCAAGGGTGGTCTTCCACATTCCCATCGAGTTTCAACGAAGTCCCTTAGAGCCCTGTTGATATTGTACAACTTCAAGCATTCCATGATCCATGTGTGTGGCATTGAGTCGTAGGCTTTCTGGTAATCAATCCAGGCTGTGCACAGGTTGGTGTGTCGTGACCGGCAGTCTTGGGCGACTGTTCTGTCAACCAGGAGCTGGTGTTTGGCTCCTCTGGTGTCCCTACCAATGCCCTTCTGTGCTGTGCTCATGAATTGTTCCATATGCCCACTTATCTTAGCCGCAATGATGCCTGACATGAGCTTACATGTTGTGGAGAGACAGGTTATTGGCCGGTAGTTGGAGGGGACTGCACCCTTGACAGGGTCCTTCATGATCAGGACCGTTCGCCCTTCGGTTAGCCATTCTGGGTGAGTCCCATCTCTCAGCAGCTGGTTCATTTGTGCTGCTAGGCGCTCATGGAGTGATGTGAGTGTCCTTAGCCAGTAGGCATGGACCATATCAGGGCCAGGTGCTGTCCAGTTTTTCATACCTGAGACTCTTTCTCGGATGTCTGCCTCTGTGATGGTAACTGAGTTCTGTTCTGGGAGGTGGCTGTGCTCCTCTCTCAGGGACACCAGCCATTGTGCACTTCTGTTATGTGCTGCATCCTTCTCCCATATGTTCCTCCAGAACTGTTCAGTTTCCAGCCTCGGTGGATCTGCTCCCCTGTTGTTACCCTGCCACTGAGCGTACACCTTTGCAGGTTGTGTTGCGAACAGCCTGTTCACCCTTCTGGCTTCATTCTCTTTAGTGTACCTCTGTAGGCGGCTGGCCAGGGCTTGGAGCCTTTGTTTGGCAGTTTCGAGTGCTTCAGGTATGGTCATCTGGCTGTACTTTCTGGGTACTGGTCTTTTCATTGCACCTCTCTGGGCCTCTGTTAATTGACTCACTT